AAAATGGATCGCGCAGCTTGAAGTTGCCTCTGTCTGACTGATGCTACCCGTGCTTAGGTGGAAAGATATATACATATCCTCTCAAATGTGTCAAAACATGTCTTTAAATTCCACGAACATCAAATATTACATCCAGGGGACATTTCCAACAGAATCAGAAAATAACGTATTGTTTCATTGACTCTCATCCATTATTTTTTTGTCCATGGAAGTAGAAGGGTGGGGCTTAGGCTCCCCATACTTAAACATAATGAACAACCCTTTGGGTCAAACAGTAGTATATGCTATCTCATTGCAAATGGATGTACTTTTATCTTTCTGTTGCTGTTTATAAGTATCACTATTTATCAATATTTGCCCTTTATTTTTTCCAAGACAAAGCACAACTTTATTTAACTCCTAAGAGAGAAGATTCTCTTTTATAAAGGCAAAAATCATTAAATGGAGTTTAAAGGCCACTATTAATGTTCAATAAATTTAGGTCATCATCAGCATTAATTAAAAATTGTGTTAAATAGTCAAGATCTCAGTTTCAATCAAAATAATCATGATTAACATTTTTGCCATGATCTAGCAGCCCTACGTGTTATCAACGTAGGGCTGCCATAGTGTTTGGGCTGATGTTGCAATATTTACAGGTTATTCACAAGTGCAGGATTTGAATTGTCAGTATGTGGCATTTGTAGTTTGTGTACAGCCAGCAAATTAGAAAGTGCTTAGTCCAGTAGGTGGCTCGTTGTTAAAACACCGGGATGTGTGTTTTGAACCACATTGGTTTCACAGTTGGTTTGGAAAATCACTGGTGTTATGGATTAATGCGGTTTTGGGTTAACTGGTTTCCTACTTCTGTTAGCATCTGTGTCAGTCCATAGGTGACATGGTGGACCACCTTGGTCCAACTGACTCCACGCTTCCCTCGATCTGAAAATACGGTCTGCTCTGCTCGGCAGAAGGATAGTTTAAATGCTCTGTACAGGGCTGGATCTGCACAATTTGGGGCCGAGCTGAGCTTAGTGGGAAAGGGCTATATGGTAGAGAAACACAGTTGGCCACAAAAAGCATTTAGCGGGTTCAAGCTATCATCCAGTTTTGGTCACCACCCCACACTTCTTTGTCTTCCTCGGTATCCGGTCCCTCTGGTCTCCAGTGCATAACCGCAGCATGTAGTGAGCTCCATTTGGCTACATTTTTATCCAGTAACCTATCAAAATCAGAGGTGCTTTGGAATTTCCATATGATTACAAAACATCTCATATAACAGTAGTTGTGACATCAGCAGCATCAGACATTGGAATCATTTAACTTTCTATTAATGTCATGTTGATATTAAATTTTGTTCACAGCAGTCTAAAATGGTCTTTAAAAGGTCCTAAATCTAACTTGCTTAAAACTGCAAGATTCCTGCATTCAGTCACAGCATTCTGCCTATATGATATTGGGAGCAGTTTATCTAGAAGTAAAAGCCCAGGTCTCTTTTTTAAAATACTATTCCAAATTGTTTACTATTAGTTTTTTACGTGTCTTGCCTCAATTCTGCACATAATGTACATCATGCTGAATTCTTTTACTGTGATCAGCGGCCATCATCCGAAACTGTTATATTTAGGGATGTCCCGATCCAATATTGACATCGGATATTTCTCCGATATCTGCCTAAAAAAAGCTCTATCGGATTTTATTTGACAGCATTAAAAATCTCCGGTATTATAAGCAGTCTGTTCCGCTGTCTGTCCAACTGTCTCTCCACCTGTCTAACCAACCTTCAGTCCACCCATCCATCAGTTTGTCAAAGCATCCATCCATCCATCCATCCATCCAATCTCCCTCACTTTCATTCATCCATTAATCCCAGGGTATCCGCAGGGTCTTGAAAAGTATTAAAAGTTGATCAATTGATTTGAGGAAAATTAAGAGCATTAAGGTCTTAAATTCAATTTATAAAGTCTTAAATTTGGTTAGTAACATGTTTTTATTATAAGCTTGTCAAGTAGATGCACATGAACTAATCATTTTCAGTTCTTTTATGCTAGCTGTTTGTTCGAGTTGCTGTTCCATGTGACTTTAAGCACTATCACTATAGGCGTGCCTTCCTCATCACAACATATCCAGCTCTTTCATGAAGAAATACATTGAAGCGATGCAGTACTACTGTAAATGGGAATCGATACATTTACTGATTCTTGGCCACAAGTTGAAGATTTTAAACTGTGGCTGCAGCCTTTGACTGAAAACAGCCGCACAAGCTTTCTGTGGGTTTTCTGAGTTTTGCTTTGTTTATTAAAAAAAAAGTACTTCCTTAAAATTAAGCTTAAATTTTATTTTTTTTAAATTGTTGAAGCACCATTACTGAAAACCAGATATTGTTAAAGTAGTATCAAAAAATATCTAGCGTTACTCAAGAAAAGGCCTACTTTCCAGGTTGTTTCTTGATTCTGCCATTGCAAAAGAACTTAATAAAATAGCTTCATATTAATAGTTTATTCATGTATTATTGCATTGCAACAGTCTTTATTTTGTTTTAAAGCCTTGAAAAGGTATTGCAATTGATTATTGGATCCCTACATATGCCCTGAATCCATCCACCTGTTCTGTTGTAGGAAATACATGTTAATGTGTAAAACTGTGCCACCTGCTGGTGAAAGGAAATACTGCAAGTGGCTTGGGTCCCCATCAGAGTGAAAACCAGAAAAACATTAAGTTGCCATTTTTTCAAAATTTTTATTGCATAACATTGGATTAGTTATGGAAAAAGTTGGAAAAATTATTTTTTTTAATTCTAATAAAGCATTATGCTTCTTTTTCACTGTCAAAGTTGTGTCCCCACCATGAATGTCCTGGACAGAAGTCCTCATTTTCCACAAGAAACAAGTATGTGTGTGTGTGTGTGTGTGTGTGCAGCGTTGCTCTAACAGTGAAAGAGGCAGCTCAAATTTTTATGAAGGAAGAAGATGGAGGAATCTTTTTACCCTTTCCCAACATGTAAAACCTACAAATGTGACACTGATTTGCTGTAACCCCTCTCAAAACACCTTCATGTTTCATTAAATCTGTAAGCTACAGCTTCGAAAATTAGACAAAGGCCTCCTTCAATTCATACAATTTTCCACTGAAAAAAAATCATAAAGCAAAGATTTGTTTTCACAAGATACACATACAAGAGAATGATGTATATACTGTATTTGCAAATGCAAGTCATGACACAGACATCTGCTACTTAAGGATTTGTTTTCTTTAACATGAAGTTAAGCTGCAACTTTAAACATGTTGCAGCATCATGAATGTCCTGTTTTTGACTGAAAGGTCATGCTCTGCTGCATCTGCTCGAGCAGAGACATAAAGTCTCTGACACAGGCCTAATCTACATGAGATATTGGCCAAGGTCGTTCATGCCCTCTCTGAACTGCTTCACCTCTGTTACAGCTCAAGACAAAGAACTATTTTGATAAATACATAATCAAACAACTTTGTTATTGCCAATAATAATGTGAGCCCAATGTTCAATCAATCTGTGAAATGACAATGTTATTACTTGATATTATAATCCTGTGATCAGTAGTATTTTACAAGTTATAATCTTAGACATTTGCACTAGACACTAATGACACTGAGTAATGCTAAAGTCACACGACACATTTCCTTTTGTCTGATCCAATCAGAACCTTCGTTTCTGGCGCTAGGCGTGGTTTTCTGTGGTGTTTGTAAAACTCTCTTTTGCATGTCAAATTCTGATTCGCCAGTAAACCAAAATATGACAATTATAAAAACTATTCCCATGCCACCTTTTCTTTAGTTCAAAGCGTCCTAGAGAAGTCTTGGACAGGCCATCCGGACTTCCTCTTCAGTCATAAGAACCTCGACAAGCTGGATAAAATCTGTTGCAAGTTACACCTGACCGCAACGGTTCCTTCAGAATAAAAGCTGGACCTCACGACCCCTTCAGGGTCTCGCTGATGCCAATGAACCTGTCGTGACCTGGAAGCATTCCAAGACTAGTTTGGTCGGCACCGCTGCTTTTCTACCGGCTTTGGTTCCGAGGAGGGTCCTTGAGGACCTCGGCATTCTGGATCCAAACGGAGGCTTCCCCTGGGTACGTAGACCTACAGATGGCGTTTCATGTGTGTTATAAATCTCCTACTAAAGTTTAGAGCGAAACATTCACTTCCACTCAGAACTAACTGCTTCTCCTGTATCCGCTGGTTCTGATAATAACATTCCACACACACACCATCATCACACGTCTCACTCCACCTTAGTCCATCAGTACACACAGTGTTTAAAGTTAGTCTTGTTTAAATTGTGTAGAAATAAATTTCTTAACTATTATAATCCTGACTCTCTTTCTTTCCTCAGAGTTAATACGAAGTGTCGTGTAATCCCTGCAATAAAAAGTTCTGATCTTCTGGTTAAAATGTTCAAAGATCCATTAGATTGATATTTCTATGGAATCTCACATTTTATGGTTCATAAGTAAGATGTAAACTACTCATCCTTTACAATGTACTGTTTATTTAATTTAACAAGACTGAAAATTTTACATGTTTTTGAAACTGGTTGTGGGCTTTTTTGACCATTTTGCCACTTTATGTAGGTTAAACTGGAAAAATTGATGCAAAAGTTCACTTCTGTCAGTAATTCAACTTAAAAGGTAAACTATATAAGGTAGACTCATATATCATTTTGATTTGCTATAATTGTGATGATTATGGATTACAGCTGATGAAAACCCCAAATTCAAACTCTCAGACAGTTAGAATATTGTGAAAAGGTTCAATATTTTAGAAATTGTCACAGTCTAGTCAGCTTTTGAATCCAGAACACCTGCAAAGGGTTCCTGAGCCTTTAGATGGTCTCTCAGTCTGAGCTCAATTAATGCGACAAATTAACTTTTGCATGGTACTCCCATTTTTTGACTTTCACCTGTATCTAAAATTTCTCATGAAGAAAGAAAATGTTTCATAAATTGGAATATTCAGGGGTAATATTATCTGGAGAGTAAAAGTTTAGATTTCTCTGACCAGGCGTTGGAAGGGCAGCTTACGGATCAGCAGCTCGGTGGATTTCTGGTAATGGCAAATCTCCCTGAGAGCCATGGTGCCAGGCCTGTAACGGTGAGCCTTCTTCACGCCACCGGTGGCCGGCGCGCTCTTCCTTGCCGCCTTTGTGGCTAGCTGCTTCCTCTTGGCTTTTCCACCAGTTGACTTACGAGCGGTCTGCTTTGTTCTTGCCGTTTCTCTAAAGATGATATAAGATGACCTCCCACCCACTGCACTCCACTATGGAGACCATGGACAGCTCCTTCAGAGGCAGACTGACATCCCAAATGTAAAACAGAATGCTGCCATAGATCTTTCATCCCCTCTGCATTAAGAGTATATAACTCCTCAGTTTAACTGGTACTGGCATTATCCTGTTATACCATAACACCAATGCAATACTCCGCATGTGTTCAATACTCATTCAATATTGGATTTACATAGTGTGTCTGTGTCTCTTGCAGTATGCTGCACAGTGTTGGAACCCACGTTTTTTCCTGTTTTATTCGTGGTTTTTAGAGGTCGAAGGGTTCAATACTAGACTACTGCCTATGTGTATATACACGTAGCTTATTATTTTTCTTCAAATTATTCTCTTAAGTGTTGGTGCTGCTGTAACAAGTGAATTTCCCCACTGTGGGATCAAGAAAGTCTATTCTATTCTATTCTATTCTATTCTATTAAGAATGCACATTGTGGTTAATCCTAAAGCACGACAGTGTGCATACTGATGTTTATGTGTGGTGTAAATGCTAAATGGCTGTGCAAACAGTGAAAATTAAACTGGGCTACACCAAAGTGGATAGCAAACCTTTGCGTCTCGCTAATGTCGCCACACATTTGAAACAAGGAGGGAACTCATTGTCATTGTCCCCCGAGGACAAACAGTGAACATCAGAGGGCATGAAATGAGTTCTGAAGAAGATCAGTATAATACTAATGAGGAGCCTGAGAGCTGGTGAGGGATTACATGTGCTTGGATGGGCCTTCTTGCCCACATAATGCTTGAATGGGCCTTCATGTGCCAAATACACACTGTCAAACACACACACACACACACACACATATGGACAAACTGGCACATGCAGCATCTGCAAACCTCACAATAACACTAAAAAAGGAGCAAAAAATGGATTTGCATCTTCTTTTATGAACGTAAAGATACAACATCCACATTTACACACTCACATGACCCCAACCTGCACAGAAAAACACTCACCACAACTGATAAATAATGTATGAGTGACCTTATTCCACCGGTAAATGTACAGTACTGAAACACACTAGTAGACCTATGGTGCAGGAGCTTTATTCATTCGGTTTGTGTGGGTAGACACATTTTATATCCTAAATATTGTATTTGGATAATTACACTGAAGACACTTACATTTGGCGATGCACTAAACTTTTCATACTGTTCAACTGATGCTATTTATTTCTTTGTTTTGCTGCACAAACCGAGGTGAGAGCAGAATGTGTTACGCTAGTGCTGGCCTCTTTCCATAGCTAGAGAAGCTGAGAATTCATTCTAATATTCTAGTTTATACCTGTATAAGCTGTTTTTGGATTCATGTGCTGCATGATTACAAACTCAAATGTTGGCAAACAAGAGTTTAAAAAATGTTCAAGAGATTTGATTAAAATAAGGGAAAGCAGCTATTATTTTATTTAATCACTGATATTTCTATAATAAGCTTTTTTATTTCTCTCAGAAGAAAAACCCACACCTGCTTTTTTTAAACTAATATCTAATGTCCGAGTGAAATTCCATGAATGTTTTTACGTTTAGGTCCTGTCATGTCGCCTCGCCTTTCTGACATTGTTTACTACCATCTTCCCTCCTTACCCTTTCCATCTAGCTGCCCTGAGACTTCAGTTTACTGTAGGCTCCTGTCCCAGTCATTCAAGTCACTAAAGACACAGAACACCAAGGAATAAACAAGACATGAGGAAAAGAAAGACAGCGCAGCCAATGATACTGTAGAAGCACAAAATGGGAGTGATTAAAAACAAGGTATTCCTTTTGTTTTCCAGAGGAACTAAGAGGTCAGACTGTGGGAAGAAAGTGCAATCAGGAGAAAAGAAAGGGAAGGAATTAAAGAGGATGACGAAGACTGGAAAAAGACAATTACTAGAGACACAGAGATGTTCAGTGATGTGGAATTAAGCAGGCCATTATCAGCATGTTCCTTTGCCAAGGGGCTCACCTCGCCTGTTCGTGTCACACTGACATCATGGAGAAGGAAATTAAGTTTTTGAAGGAGAACTTTAAGCTGCTTCACACACCAAACACATTATTTGTTTCACGGGGCCATATCATGGGATATTGTTATTTCTTCATGAAAAAGAAATATGATTTTTTTGTTGCATTCATGCATTTTCCAATTTCAGCTGCAAATTTTGAGTTTGACTTTAAAAATCTTGTGAAGACTCAGTGGAAACTAGTCTCATCATCAGGCCCTGCTCCTCTCCCGGAAGCTAGCCTCTGGTCTGAAACTTGTTTCCTCTGGCTAGTACAGGATGTGTGGCTTAGGCAACTGCCATGCAGACTTGGTAGTCCAGTGGTTAGTAAGCAATAACTTATTTTCTACTTTTTTTAGCTACACTTGCAAGTACTAAGCTTTCAATCCTTTATTGGTAAACTGCTTTAAAAAAATAATCATTTATTTATTTATTTAACTTTGTTTATTAAGCCAGTGTGAGTCCATGTGAGGTCAGCAGAGTAAATCAACTAAAATGCTGCTTGGAAATGAAAAAATTTAAAGACACAAAATATCTTGCAAAGAATAATAAAACTAAACTACCGTAAATCCTCTAATACAGGCCGGTATTCAATTAAAGGCCGGGTCTCCAATTTTGGCCGGTGTCGGAGTCAGCGGAGGTGAATAATGGCCGGTCTCTTATTGTGGCCGGGTGGAATGTAGTAACAAGCAAATACGAGCGTCTCAGCAGCAGGGTTATAGTCCCCAAATCAACCAGCAGGAGGCAGTAGAGGTTCACACAGAGCTTTATTAGGCTTTTTCTTCAATGCTTTGTAACACCACAGACACGATCCTCTATCACGCTCCTACCACACAGAGTCACGGTGTCAGTTAACCATGCTAATTCAACCCGCTCCACAGAACACACATCACCTTCCCTGTGGCTTACATAACACTCACACAACACGCAAATCAGCACATAGGAACCAGCAGAACATAGGAAACACATATAACACAATACCCAGAATGCACCTGGCTTACAACCCCAGCCAGGTCATTACACTATCAAGTTCAAAGAGAACATGCTGATTATGCTGCAGAACACTCTGGGGAGCAGTAGCAGGGGTTGTATGAACTAGTCGACTTCACTATAGTGACTTTTTATGCCTGTCGTCGACTAGTCGCTGTCACGTGATAATGACCGGCAAGATGCAGCCCTCGGAAAAGACAGCAGCCTGCTGTCAGCAGGTGACAAGCTCCTGCGCTCAGGGGGGCAACGCGCTGTGTCAGAGCATAGGTACCGACACGCGATCGTTCATGTCGGTTCATTTCCTTTAATGTTTTCTGTCTTTTATTTGCGCCTGATGTGTTTCGCTGCTGTGGAGCGGGGCACATCACCTTGTCCTCCGACTCACAGATCACTGATGCGGCCGCCAAGCAGGGAGAGCTCCGCTGTTTTCGCGGTCGGTAGATCTGCCTCCTGAGCACGGCCACAGTAACAATCAGGTGTCGCCACCTCAAAAACTAATTTAACACATGATCGTTCATGTCAGTTCATTTCCTTTAATGTTTTCTGTCTTTTATTTGCGCCTGATGCGTTTTGCTGCATGCTGTGGAGCGGGGCGCTGCGCGCATCACCTTGTCCTCCGACGCAAATTCCACTACCTCCGCTCCGCTCCGCTCCGACACAAACGCCGGAGCAAAATCGGTCCCGTTGTAGTCAGTCATAGCAATTCTACTACTGCGGCCGTGCTCCGGCAGTGCGGCGCCGTGCGCCGCCCTCTGTTTCGGCGTCCGGCAAAAATAGAATCGATCCTATTTTCGCCGGAGCACCTCCGCAGTCAATGGACAGAAATCACAACTGCCCAACAGGAAAAGGAGCAAGCACAACTTCCTTTTTTCACAATAAATCGATAAACAAAAGGCGTTTTTTGTTTCATATGCAGAGGTTTAACAACTTTTAACAACTATCAATGGCGGCTGAACTTTAAATGCACAAAAATAAGCCATAAATACAGTTTCTACTGTCAAAGTAGTCGCCCTTTGTTGATCCAAACACTGCTGATCTCTCAACACAAATGATGGGCAGATTAAACAGTTCATTTCGATGCTTCTCCCACACAACGGGTGTTTGGATCTAACTTCCGCATTTATTGCTCGGACTGTATGATACGGCAGCCAAGCAGGGAGCGCTCCACTGTTTTTGCGGTCGGTAGCTCTTTTAGAACTGCAGTTCAAAGGTAACTCATAAGGTCAATATATATGAACCCAGGTAGCAGTTTTTCTTTAGGATTGAGAGGAGATGCAGAAAGATAATAAACAGACAGGACAGAAAAATAGTCAAATAAAAACAAGTTAGTTTTTGTACCTGGTGGTTGCAACAAACAGACACCATTGAAGGTAATCAGAAGTGAGGAACAGAAAATGAAATAATTACTTTAATGTTTAGAGCAGCAGGAACTCCGAGAGGCTGCAGGCGCATCAGTGAGTTTGCGGCCGCTGCGCAGGGGGAGGGGGGAGAGGGCTGAAGCAGGAACTACTGTTGTTAAAAGAAATGTGTTTAACTTTGAAAATGTGGGCGCAATTTTAATTGTCAAAAACTCCAACGAACCATTAGTTCATTTTGCTCAAATAGAAATAGAGGCCTGCCTCTAATACTGGCCCTCCTTCCAATAAAGGCCTGGAGCTTGATGAGCTTGAGTCAAATACAGGCCCGGGCCTGTATTAGAGGATTTACGGTATGAAAACATGAAATTTGCTTCAGTTGGTCAAATAAATTACTGCAGACACCACTGGGATTTGAACCCATGTCAGCACATGGCAAAACTGACAACAGATTTACCAGAAAATCAGCTTAACCATGAGACTACCATAGCTTTCAGCAAGCTTGTCTAAGACGCTATTGTAGGCACATTTTGTCAGCGCGAGCATGGGCGGAGTTTCACTGAAACAAAGCACTTCCTTTCCAGGTATGAATTCAGGCTGACAAAAAATAACTCGTATTTGAGATAAATGACATCTCAATAGTGCCAATGGTAATATTTTATCATATGCTGTGACTACCTTTGTTCCAGATGGTTTAAAATAGAGTTATCTGGAACCTTTACCTTGATATAGGGTCAGATATTATCTCTAGAATACATTGATGACTGCAGAGTAAAAGGTAAATGGGATTTTGATGCTGTGGTAAAAAACAAAAATATGTATTTTTCTAAATATTAGTGAGATTATGCACACACACACACACACACACACACACACACACTAATTTGCATTCAATCAGCTGAAGAGAAGCAGAGATTTCACCAGAATGTGTTAGCAACTATAAAACTACATCTCTAGTTAGACTTCTAAATGATTTCCATTTTTTTCAGGGATATTCATTTTTCTGACTTTCCGTTTCTGCCCCACCTTTTTTCCCCCGTTTTCTTCCTCTGCAGTGCTCGGTCTTTTTTATTTATTTATTTATTTTTTATAAAACTTCAGTGCATTCTGAAAAGCCACTAGCAAGTGTGAGGAGGAAATTTTCCCTTGTGTTTCCATCCCCACTCCCCTCGGCGTCTAAGTGACAACGCTTTTGGATGTGTATTCTAGCAATCAATACAGCATTCACTCACATTCTGGGATGTCTTCGCATTCTGAGCTGCACGCTATACGGCAACAGTACAAGCAGAGGGGAGGGCATGGCGTTGCTATAGAAACTGTTCTCTTTCAGGTTTGAGTCAGGATGATAAAAAAAGTAGCAAGGAAGTATTTCGTGCAACATATCTGATGCCTTTTGAACTGCATGAAGCTGACAGACGAGCTCTGCAAACAAAAACCTCCTAATTCACTGGAGCCTGGACATGCCAGCTGTCATCAGGTGAGAGGCGGGGTGCATCCTGGACAGTGTGTCAGTCCATCAGAGTGACAATACAAAGACAAGCAACCTTGTATGCACACTCACTCTCCGTGTGGAACCACCAAATTAACAAGCATGCATGTTTTTAACCCGCACA